GCAAAAGTTGCTCTCATCATAAAAGAGGACTTTTGGCCACTGAGCAACAGGACTTTGGACCACTGTGCTTCATTAAGTCCAGGGTCAACGCAGCCGTTTACCAGGAGATTTTGGAGCATTTCATGCTTCCTTCTGGTACGGTTGGAATGGACCCAGCGTCGTCCACATGGATGCATACAGAGCGGTCATGCATCTTCCTGTCCAGCGACACCTCCGCGAGCCTCCGCAATGCTCAAGCTGCTCAGCAGAGCATTGTGCAGGCGCTGCACATGCCATGCGTGTGCGCAAAAGCACCAAAGACTTTAAGGACAGGTGAACTTGGGCAGGCGGGTGGGCCTTCCAGAGCACCGTACCAAAACGGTACCCACCATTGAATCTATTGGTAAGAATTGAAATAGATTCTCTAATGTTAATATATAAATGATTTTTTGAGACTTTATCCATCCTTTTTTTAATAGGTATGCAGACTCTTATTGTGATATTCCATTACCCGTTAGTCCTTATCAGGTGAATAATAATCCACATCAGATTTATTCTGCCATTCAGAGCATGGTAAGTTTAGCATAATGATAGTAAAACTATCCCAATAAGATGTCGTGTGTATGCTGATTCTTGTATTATATACTGCAATAAACAATTATTAAGAAAGCCAAGATATGGTTGCTTTTCAGCTTCTGGGTGCATCTTTTATTGTCTAATTTTATTACCAATTTTCAGGTGAAATGTACTTTATAATTAGCAGTTAGCCTTATTACCCATTTTATCTATATATACTGTAACTATAAAGGGAGAAATTGACTGGATCCTTCAGCAGTGCTTGTTCTGTATAGCTTTATTATTACTAATATGCCTCGCCTTGTTAGAGATGTCATGTGACCTCACAATTGCATGAAATAATATGGAATGTGGCAGAGTATTTGGAAGCTATAGCTAGTCTAGAAGGCAGTGTCGCAAGACAGTTTTTGTCATCTCTCAATATGTTCGTATAATATCACTGTTCTGAACTGTACTGATTTCCAGTAGGCTTCCAAATCAAATTCAAGGTCCTGATTACCATTTATAGAGTATTACATGGCATAGGTCTAGCACGGAGGACATTCTCTGAGTCTGTTACGCTGAATTATGTCTTCTCTGTATCTGCACCTGCCCTGTGGTCTTGACCCCATTAGTATTTCTGAAGACTAGGAGGCTCCTCCAGACCTTTGAGCCAGGCAGTTAGACGAGCTTTGTGGAGATGCACTATTATGATGGCCATTGTTGTAACATGGACAGCTCTGTGAATCATATAAACAATAATATGTGATACCCCATCGAACGTCCAATTGATAATTTTACAACAATGATAATTTTACAACAATGATGTAAACAAAAAGGCAGAGTTGCACAAACAGCTTATGCAACTTTACTCATCATGCTTAATATTTGAAGGTATTGCATGTTACTATTTTAAAAATCTTTTTTATATCATTATGTCATCAAGTATATAATTTGAAATGATTTTTAAGTAACCCACGGTCTTTTTTCATACAATAAATAATGAAGATAGAGATGATTTGTTTTCAAATATTTTAAAATTATCTTCTTTTTTCTAGATGACATGTTTGACACAACAATATGTTCCATACAGTCCAATGGGACAGCCATTTCTTTACCCACAGATGACATCGCAACAATTTCCAAGTATTCCAGTATCATCCTACATGAACACTGGGCAAAATTCTTCTGAAAGTGTCTACTCAGAGGCAAAAACCCACAGTCAATATCTTATTACAAAAAATACTCCCAAACGGAAAAGAACTCTGGAAGTTGGGGAGAACAATAGTAGCAAAAAAAATAATAGGAAAAAATACAGGAAAAAATGAGTAAAAATGTAAAGGGATAAGTTATTAAACACTATAGGATTCTATTTATTTATAAATAATTCTATTGTTAAATAAAAGGATATGATCCTGATATTTATAAAAGAAATATCAAACAAACACACACACACACACACACACACACACACACACACAAATGGAATCTAATTATGTTCTCTGGAAAACATGAAAATTAAATAAAGTTTATTGAAAAACATCTCATTTTACTTGAAAGGAAGTGTGTGATGTGTGTGTTGTTCTGACAACTATGTTCAAACTAAGATTTCTGAATTACAAACATAGTAAAAATATTGAATTTTTATATTATTCACAATGTGATGCATAAAGTTTGTGGTTAAAGTCTATTTTTGTGGGAAAATATAAGATTCATATGTTGCCATTGTCAATGCGAAATTGATGAAAACTCATTTAGCTAGAAAAAAAGTACTAAAAACAAGATTGGAAGATTGCTGATTTGCTTTATATTTCTTTTCGAACATATCAGGCATGGACTATACATGTTGCAAAGCAAATCTAAAGCAATATAAATGTCAACAGTGCATATTTGTGAATTATATTTTGCTCTTTTCTAAAGTTCATGAAAACATCTGGAAACTCGGGAAGGGGGTTGCTTTCCGTTTCTTTACATTCATACAAATTATTTGTTCTCAACAGGTCCTGAATATTTTCTATAATCAGTGGTCATAATTTAAAGGGTAATCCATATGTAGACACTATCTCCCCCTGCCCATCTTTTAATTAAATCGCTGTACTTTTATTATTGTTTGTTACATTTAAATTTTTAATAATTTTATATTTTTACTGTTGTAAACTACAGAGAAAAGCAAGATGGGCAGAAAATAAATGTAACACTAAACAAACAAATCTTTTTAATCTTTTAAAAAATATTTAAAAAAAGTTAAAATACAAAACTCCAAAAAAATTAAAAAGAAAAAAACAAAACAACATAAGAAAGTGCATTGAAAGAAGAAAAATTCAACACATCCACATATCGTCCTCCCTAGTTGAATACTGATTAAGACATTTCTACTAAATTTTCAGCTAAAGATAGCATGCCACCAAAAGATCTTTTCTCAAATTTCAGCTAGCTTTCTGTAATCTGAAACATTGCTTCTATGTGAAGTTTAGCATGAAGTTTAGTGTTAAAGAACAGTGATACAGAAGGAAACAATGTATTTTGTGGATATTTTGATTCAAGAGTGAAAGGAAAAAAATAACCTCTCAAGTATTTTGCAAATTAAAAAAGGGAAAACCCCTATGGTTAGAGTCCATTAGTGTAAATGAAATAAGTGTTCCCATTCAAATCCAGGGAGCAGCACTGCCAAGAAAATCAACGTAGGCAGCAAAATCAGCAGATCATCAGCAAGAGAGAAAAATTCTCTTACCACTCAGCAGCCATCTTGGGTAGAAGTCATAAATAAATGTGCTTTTATGAATCTGTAATAATTGGTCAAAGCTATCACTTATGAACTGTTTTCTTAACTGAGTTGGTTTACAAATTGCCAATGAATAAATAGCCATTGAAAAAATTTATTATGCATATATGCACAGATTATTCCATGATTTTCAACCTTTTTTTATAAAGTTATGCTATTGGAGTGTAGCTTAGTACAGAGACAATGTCTGTACTGTCTTAGTTCAGTACAAATGCACATTTATTTATTTATATCATTTATATATAGCAAGTACAGTGCTATTTATTTTTATTTATAGCTGTTTGTAATAAGGGTCTTGTGTATGCCATAACTATAAACTACTAAAAATACTGGTTTTATATCTCAGTACTAACTGAAATCTTACCAAATTATTTCTATTGCTAGGCAGCCCTTTTCAACTAGACTGAAAGACAATGTATTTTCATTTAAAATATCTGACTCTTAAGTAGCAGCAAGAAATTCAATGTTATTTCCTCACAGACCTGCTGACTTTCTTAAGTATGTTTTACAAACAACTCAATTATGTCTGTCATCAAAAATACCTCATCAACAAGGATTGGTGTCTCATATGATAATTAGTCTTTCTACATACCAATTCTTTTACATTCCATTCTCTGAAATTAACCTAGAGATAACTGAATGGGTTCTTAGCTATCTTGGAAGTAGCAAAGTTCTAATTAAATATAAAAGCATAAATATTCTGCCATTTAAGATGAGAAACTACTTGGAATCCTCTGATTTTTTCTTCAAACTGTCTCATTTGTTTTTTGTTTATCACCTGAACATTAAGCCACTCTTGCGAAACTGCATTGTAGGTATGCTTCCAAGACCAGTGAAGATTCCAAAATACAATCAACTTCAGCTCCCGTAAGATAGCTTTGAGCAAAGACAAGACTCAACAAATATTAACATCATGCCAAAAGTTCTTTCAGGAAAAAACTATGGTAAATAATTCCTTTATTCAATAACCAAGGGAGTAACAAATAAAATATAAACATCAGAGGATTTAAAACGTGTTCTATCTACATTATGATGCTTTGTTACCCAAATTGGTTCTTTCCCTAAGGTACATGTCTCTGAGAGGCTAGGCCATGATATAGCAAAATGCCATAAATACTATAAAGTATTTATTGTGGTAATACAAAAAGAACATTTTATAAATGCAGTCTCTTTATTAAAGTTATAATTTGCCATGCAGAAAAATTGTTTCATTCATTTATGTCACAGTCCAGAAGGAAATATAGTACAAAAAATAGCAAGATACATATTGATCAAACCAAGAGTTAGGCTTCAAATGAAAGCATGAAAATGAATACCAGTCTTTTATTAATACATATATTATTTAATTGTATGGAAAGTAGTGAGAGCAATTTCAGTACATATTATTTTTAACAGAAAGGCAAATGGCTTCAAAAAGAAAATCATTAATATTGTTAGCGTTTGTTGTAAAAAAAAAAAGCTCATGAGCTGTGTGATATTATAACAATGTCCAAAGTACTTATATTTTTGCATAAAAATTCTAATCTCTCAAATGATTTTTATAGCTCATGCATTACTACATCAACATAGTAGCTCTTAGCTCTGACTATGAACACCTGCTCCAGGAATCTAATAGTGAAAGAAATACTTTGCATACTTTGGTATGATATACAAGAAAGTATAATTGCATCTGTGTGCAATGCTCTATCAGATTGCACAGATGCAATTCTAAATTAGGCAAACTAGAAATAATTTATACTTATTTGCTGAAGAGGTTTCAGGGGTTTTTCTCCCTATATTGTTGTTATAAAGCAAAAGTTTTAGCTTAACTTCAGGTATATTTATTCTTTTAAATATATTTTTACAACTAAATTTCATAAACTTTTATTCTATAGAGTTTATTTTCTTTCATACAATAATTACTGTTCTTAGCACACATTCAAATTTTAAAGAAGGATCAAAATGCTGCCTTGGCAATTGTTTTTTTTTTTTTTTGGGTAAAGTGTTATCCTGACCACAGCAATATAGGGAAGAATTGCTACTGGTTTAGAAACAACAGGATGTGGTCTTGTGTTCATAGGACTATGAAAGGATAGTACTGTGTATGTTCTCTTCTTATTGGGGGGAGGGGGAGGGAAGCAATTCAGAACTTTATTATTTATACATGTTTAAATTTCCACTTCAGGAAGTTACAATTTTCTCCAATACCCTCAAAGAATGTCGAACATAGCTTGTTTAATTTGACTTTCTTCCTGTTGCTTAGCTCTTAAATTCCTTCTGAAATAACTGAGTTAATATGCTAAATATTGCACATTCTGCAAGATAATTTAGAATCATGAAGAGTATTTTTTATGAAACTGATGATATCCATTAACCTAGAACTCAAGACTTAAATCACAAACTGCCTTTGAAAGACTGTTCCATTTGAAAAAGAATGTTTCACCAAATAGGAAATTGATGAGTTTAAAGCAATCTAAAACCAACTACCCAAACCACTAGTACTGGTAACACATTTGCTGCTCTTGTTGATATTGATATACTGTAATTGGCAATGCCTACATAAAGACTATGAAACAGTTCCTAAAATACCTTTATCCAGACGGGATAGATTCTCATTATCCTTGAAGACTATGTTTTTTCCCCAAGAATCAGAAAATTACTTCTTGCAATGAACACCAGCAAAATCCTCTGAACTGTAACAAATTTTGCTGTTCAAAATACTCAAATGGTGCCAACTGAAAGTCATTGATTGATAAATGTAAAAAATAACTTCCTCGGTTACATTGATGCAGTGGTGTATTAACCATTAAGCAGTCTAAGCACATGTTTAGGGCACCAGGTCCAAGGGAACACCACAAAGTTGAGAAAAAAAAACCAATGAAGAATTGTACAGTATGTACAAAGGAGGGAGGCAAGATTTGTCAGTGTTTAGGGCACCAGTGAGCTTTAATCCAGTGTTTTTCAACCTTTTTTGTGCAAAGGCACACTTTTTTCATGAAAAAA